ATGCCAAGGACAATATGGGATGGTGAACAGAAAACTCACTGTTTCAAGGTAAAATCATTTAATTCAATCAAACTCTATACAAACTCGCACTAATTTTAACCCTATACCTTTAGGAAAGGACCAGGTCACTGTTGAGGGAATGGTATCTGAAGGATCCATATCCGAATCCAAGCAAAAAGAAAGAATTAGCAAATGCCACCGGTCTAACTGCTATGCAAGTCGGAAACTGGTTCAAAAATCGTCGCCAAAGGGATCGTGCCGCTGCCGCAAAGAACAAGTTAGTGTCAATGATTAGATGTTTGGCAAAGTAGAGGTTTCGGTATGATCATTTAGAGAGAAAAAAACTTTGAGAAAATTTGATAAGAGCGAGATTGGAGATAATTCTGAATCTCTCGTCTAATGCTTCTTTCTGAAGGAATTTTTTAACGGATCTTTTCAAAATGTCTCCAAATCCATCGAATCAATCTATAGCAAGCAACCGTTCAGCTATAGATACAGATCCATGGAGAACTCTTACTAAATTCCTGTCAATAGGATCCTTCTCCAAATGAAATTCACAAGGTTCTGAAAAAACCTAAATTTTACAAGCTTCCATACTAAATCCCCTTCTCTTATAACTTATCTTTCCTCCATCCTATACGAGTTGAAGATTATTTATTATTTATTTATCATGTATTAAAAAGCGCCCTGAAACAAGTGGATTAGGAGGATCAATATTGGTTAAGAATACACAAAGCACTTTTGGTAGCATCGTCTACTGGGTACCTTTAAATTTTATTCAAAAAGTTTTTTTCCCAAACAGCAAGAACTGAGGCATAGTAGCTCTAAGGCAAGCAGTTGTGATACAAGTTTTACATCGGTCGGACAAGTGTGCAGGATATTAATTATTAATTTACAGCCGTCAAAGTCCTTTAAAGTATTTTTTAAAGACACAAGAATGACTTTTCTAAGATTACAGGCTTCGTAGCATCAGCCTTTTAGCCTGAAAATCAGGCAATATTGAGGGGTATACGATGCCCTATATGTTTTCATTGCTATGAGTTGCATTAGGGCTACCAAGATCTGGAGTATTAATTCCAAGCATTATGCTCACTTTAGCATGAAATTACTAGGTAGAGTGGAAGAATAGCGGGGATATGGAGAGCCGCTTTGACTCCTATTGTTATTGAGACTACCATATGTGCTCATAAAGAAAGAGGCATTTTCGGTCTGAATGACAAGGAAAAAAATTTCAGACAAAAACTGAGGATCCTCCCTTTCCTGCTTTTCAGCAAATTCTGCTGCTATTTGAAGCTATCATCATCCAATTTCCCTAAAAGTGTCTTTTCTTTTGAT